TCGGGTGAGGATTTAAAAAAATAAAGACTACGTCTCTATCTCAGACTTCTAACAAAATTTTGCTGGTTTATCAGATATTAATGTTTTTTGATTTCCCCCTTTTAAGGCTTTAAGCAGAGTTTGGAAGTGAATCCCTATATGTTATTCAGATTTTTTTTTCCTCACCAGAGCCCTACCCACAGGATAAAAACAGGTTTTTAAAATCCCAACAGTTATCCTTCCTTTCCACCCAATTTCCTCATTGTTGGACAGCCCTGGCAAGCTACACCTCTAGCAATTAAGACAGGTATAAACCCATTCCCTTTCCCCTTCCCAGTGAGAGAATTGGCAAGTGTTCTGTTTCTGAAAGATTGGAAACAAAGCTATCTGTTTCAAAATAAGAGTTTTTACCTGCAAATAACATCTCCTGCGGGCGGTGTGTATCAGGGAGGAGAAACCTCTGTAAGCCTTGGTTATCAGGAGGGGTTTTTGTTGTATTTTTTCTCCCCTTCAAAAAAAAAAAAAAAAGTTGAATGTTTTTACAGAGACTTCAAGGGCAGTTTTAAGGATGTTTATATTTCAGACAACCTAAACATTGTTTGGAGCAAAATGAGAGATTTCATTTGGGGACAAGCAAGTTGATGAATTGCAGTCAGCATCGTGTTCTCAAAGAAGGCATTTTTACTGGGGGCTTTTAGTCTAGACATGCTGAGGAAGAGGGAGGCGGGAGAAAGAGGGGTGAGCATTCTCACGCTAACACTCATCTTTTGCATGGCACCTTGGCCAATGCAATAAATAGTTCATAATAAATCAGACTTGCAAATAGTCCGTCTTGTGCTCACTCGGGAAGCCTAGTGATTTACATTGCCTAAGTCATAAAGAACACTGATTTATTTTCCTACTTAGGCTCTTTCAAGCTGGTAAAACATTTTGTGGGCCAGTAAATGTTTGGTACCAACTGGTAAAACATGAAGAATTATATCAAAGTCCACCCTGAGTGGCACTGTTTTGCTGTATAGGAAATACTGTTTTATTTCACCTCTGACCTCTGGCATTGCAAAGGTCAAGGGAAAGGGAGAGAGCAAAGTAGAAACCAACGTTTAACCCTACAATAAAGTAGCTCCAGGACATAACAGCACAGGGTAGGGCAGAGGAAACATATCAACATGATTATTAACTGTAAACATATGGAGTAATTAGCTCACAGTGGTAACAGGAACATTGGCAAGATGAATCTAGCGGTGTGTGGGCAGGGAATGTCTTATAGAGATGACATAAACTTCTAACAGAAGTGAGAGAATATCACCCAATTTGGGGAAATATATAAAACTCCAAAAGGAAAAATTTAGTGTTTCTGGACTTGACAGATTTCATAGAGTTTTTAAAAGTGTAATTGTTTTTAACGGTGTGGTGAAGTCTGTGTGTTAGACTGGAAATAAAATGCCAATGACTGCCTGCTTTTTCTCTGCATTCTGATGTGAGTTGGATATAAAGCAACATATTTATTAAATATGTGAGCTTCCTTATTATTAGCAAAACTTGCTGACCCAAATTAATATAAATAATTGTAATCCTTAATTTTTTAATACAAATATGTTGCTTTATCCAAGGTACTTCCTTTACATTCAGGAAATGTTTGCTGGACACGCAGATGTCCATTAAATAATTACTTGTTGACTTACTATTGTTACTGATATTTTCATAATCTTACTCAAAAGTCCTAGGATAATGACAAATGATTGGTGTAGTCATGGTTAAAATCCAGAAATTTTCTGTTCCCTGGCAACCAATACAAGTTATGCAAAGTTTTATACACATAGAAAACAAAAAAGGTTTCTTCTAGTCTATTCATCAGTAAACACACCTGGAATATAACCATTAAGCAGCCTTCACCACAACCATTTTTTAAAAGTACTTTGCACAAAAACAAGAATATTCCTCAACAGTTTGGGAACTGTTGAAATAAATTTCCTCCTTCTGAGTGCTTCCTTCATGCAAAAATCCTTCTGCTATATCTTTAGTTATTTTTTTATATGTGAGGTTCCTTCAATGAGAATTAGAACTGGCATGGAAAGTTGATCAAGCTGCCCTAGCTGGTTTGGCTCAGGAGATAGAGCGTCGGCCTGCAGACTTGATGGGTCCCGGGTTCGATTCCAGTCAAGGGCACATGCTCAGGTTGCCGGCTCGATCCCCAGTAGGGGGCATGCAGGAGGCAGCCGATCAATGATTCCTTCTCATCGTTGATGTTTCTATCTCTCTCTTCCTCTCTGAAATCAATGAAAATATATAAAATAATTTAAAAATAGAAAGTTGATCAAGCTCATGATCCTCAGAAATCACGGTTTACAGGATCCTGAAACTTGCAATCAGTTTAAACATAAAATGATTTTCCTCTCTGAAAAAAAAAAAATGTGACTCCCTTCTGGAGGCATTTTTATATATTCCTTCCTCCCAGGAAAGGACTTTGCAGTATTCTAGGGATCTGTGGCCTCTGTTTGCCATATTTCCAGTGATGGAACTCTGATTAAGGGCAAAGGAGACAGACAGAAGTGCATTTTAGAAACTTAAGATGTCTTACATTTGTTTTTCTTTCTCAAGAAAATCTATTATTTGGATCACAGGTAAAGAAATAAAACAGGATGAATAGCTGTAATTAATAATCATAGTTCCCCACTATAGTCTTACAAGATTTTTACTTTTATTTTTTCCTTCAAAATTTTCCCTTTTGGTTGTCACATTTTTTCCTCCCACCTTGAGTGGCAAGTAGATGGGTATTAATTATCCCTACTAGTATGACATAATGGGAATAAGACAGGTTAGACAACCCGTTCATTCCAAGGTTGGTGCTATGGTCAGTGACATCTAGGACCAACCTTCTTTTTTAACCATCCCCCAATAAGACCTTTGAACTGACTGCATTAAGCTGATGGTAACACATGCAAGGAAGTCCTGATACTTCTATATTTTTATATACATAAAGCTACAGTAGAAAAAAGATGGGAGACAGCTGCCATAAACATCCCAACTTCTTATGTCTCCTTTTGCAAAACAGATTTGCTTCCTAACCTTTCCACCAGAATCAGTTGCCAGATCCTATGGTTTATATATGTTCCGTTTAATGTATTTTTTATAAACCTAATATAAAGTTTTCCTAGTTGGAGGAAGTAATCACTTCCCATTAAGTCAAACAGTCCCAATCCATTGGAAGTTAAAATATCTGACAGAGAAATAGAAACACTCAGCTTTGTGGTCTGGTGGGTCGAGATGGAATGGTGGTTGGTTTCTGGTCATTGCTGCCGACAAGGAGAGCCCATTATTTCTGCTCTGGCAGGACTGGCTCAAGATAGTCGTGGACATGAAAATATCTTAAAGGTGTCATTCCAAGTCCTTAAGGAATTAAACATATTAAGATAACAAAAGGAGGATGTCATGAAACCATTTCTAAATTATCAGATATTTGTAGGGTTTGGGGGGGTTTTTTGCAAGGTAACTTAAATTAAAAATCTTGTGTTTTTATCCTGCAACATCTTATAGTAAACATTGCAGAATTCTTTGCAATCAATGGGGAAAAATAGACGGATTGATTGAAGCCAACACAGACTCCTTACTACACACAAAGAGGGACATCCTGGTGACACAACTCCTCAAGTTTGCAGGCAGGCTATTTCCATTTCGTGATTCTATTTAGGGTTCAGTGGCCTCCCACTGCAGACCTGCTATTTAGTCTGCACATGAAAATTAAACCCAGATACTGAGCTTTCCTCAGCTCCACCCCTACCCATGGCTCTGTGGTGAGATCTAGGATTCAACTCTTAAGACATCTTAAAATTCCATCAAGCATTAGGCGATGGGATTGGATATTGGGCTGTCTTCCTCCTCGGGATCAATCAGTGGGAGCATAACCAAAGGTATATGCCACCACGCACATTCTGTGGCATTAAAAAGAACGAATGCCATAAGTTAATTAAAATTAATGAAGATAGGTGCAAACCATATTAAAAAGAATTAAGATTAGGTGCATACCGTATTTCTAGGATGTAGTGGGTTCTTTCCTAAACTTAACCAAAGCAATGAAAGAGTTACATTTATTAAATTCCTTTTTCCCCCCATTTGCAAAAGAAAACTAAGGCAAATGAGTGCAATTTTCCAATAGTCATAATAAAAATATAGTTTTCCAACTCTGCCCACTTTCCTTTCCCGCTCATCAGCTTTGTGCCAAAAAATTCCCATGTTTCGGCCCGGTATGGTGCAGCCTCAGTTGTCTTTGTGAAATAAGTGCGTGAATGGTGGCCAGCAGTTCAGTATTTAAAGCCCTTGGTGGCTGGTGCTCATAAAAATGTCACAGTGCACTTCCATTTTGAAAAGTCCTTTTAGCCTCCATTCCAGAAGCGCCATTCCAGGACTGAGCCTTCTTTCTTTTTTTAAATATGTTTTTATTGATTTCAGAGAGGAAGGGAGAGGGGGAGAGAACTAGAAACATCAATGATGAGAGAGAATCATTGCTCGGTTACTTCCTGCACGCCCCCTACTGGGGATCAAGCCCACAACCTGAGCATGTGCCCTTGACCGGAATCGAACCTGGGACCTTCCAGTTCGCAGTCCAATGCTCTATCCACTGAGTCAAACCAGGCAGGGTGGACTGAGCCTTCTTGACCTGAATGCTGCTATTTGGCCTTCCCACGTCCCCGACAAGCCCCTCTTGAAATGTATAAGATTTTTGGCTACAGTATTTCTCCTTATTGCCTCAGAGCTGCTCTTGCGGGGCTACACAAACTGAAAAGCCCTTTGGCTTATGTGGCAAATATGAAGCAGTGTCAATACATATCTCAAGCTATGTCTACAAGAAGTTGCTTGTATGTTATGTTACTTCTACGTTAATGAAGAGGGATGGGTCTGAGGAGCCCTAGTAGCTGCTCTGCTATGGAAATAAGATTCCTTGGGGACAGAAGAGCCTTCTGGGAAGTCTGCCTGGCCAGGACACAGGGCGGCTGAGAGTGGGTTTTCAATTTTCTTCCTGACAGGGAGGATTTTTCTTCTCTCAACCACATGCACACTTTGGTCACAGCAACCAAGTCCCTGGAAAGGTGAGGTTTATAGAGGTGAGTGCCATGCGCCCTGCCCACATCATCCTCGAGGCAGCCAGGCTGTCCTGTGGAGAGTGGCCGTCAGAGCTACGCGAAGAAGAGAGAGAGCTCTCCGCTACGTAGCTGATGGAGAAAACCATTGCTTTGAGCATGTGAGAGCCACACTGCTTCCAAAAGTTTAATGGAGTGTGAGCTCCCGCCCTTGAGATCCAGTTATGGACCCAGTGCTGTAACCAACAGCTCCAAGTAGAAGCATTTCAAGGTCAGTGGAAAGATACTTTAGTAAAAGAACCGTTGTGTTGTGTTAAGAACTGAAGTAGTACGAGGGACCATCCTTTTTAGCTGAGTTCTGTCTAAGGGGTTTGAATAAACTACTTGCATAGCAGGAGCTTCAAGAGCTCAAATTAAACAAAGTTTCTGGAAATGTTCTGAACAGCCGATCACATTCCATCTGCCCCGAGGTCTCTGTGAATTCATGGCCTGAAAAATTCTGTTTTCTTCCGGATTTAAAAGAGGTTTCCAGGTAGACTAGAAACACCAGGAAATGGAGTCATTACCGTTAGATCCAGGAGGAGGGTTTCCAGCCTTACTGAGTCCTATTAATTAATTAACCAGGAGAAGAAGGAATAAAGTAATACCTGCCAGCTCTTATGCGATGGCCTGTTTCAGAGTAACACCCTCACTCCACACCGCGGGTCGGGGCCGGGTGAAGGGTATATCTGCCAAACAGCTTAGTGACTTTCTGGGGTTTAAATACTAAGTGAAAAGAGAAGGTCACGGGCAGCTGAACCTCGGCCTCTCTTTCGTCTGTCCGTGGCTTTGGTCAGGCTATCTCCTCCTCTGTGGCCAGGACTCCATAGAGAATCCTGGGGTCGTGGCCCGTTGCCTATCAAGAGGTAGAATCATGCTGCTGAGGAGGGTGAAGCCCGAAGTTCGGGGGTTGGGAGCAGAGGGGAGGTAGCTTCACACGTTCCACATTTCCCACATAACCCGAAGCAGACTAAACAAAACGGGTGTGAAATCTCGTGACTTGATACTGCCGTGGTTATATTTTCTAAGCTGTAACCCATTCATTGGTAGGTGTGTTTGGTCCCAGGATTTACAGCTCTCTCCATCTTGGGGGGGAAGAATGTTTGAAACAGTTTGCAAAAGGTTTGCAGTAAGCAGTGGCCTGTGATTAAAGCCCAGGATGGAGTTCGTGAGTGTGTGTGTGCGCGTATGTGTGTGTGTGCGCGCGCGTGTGTGTGTGCATGAGCACGTGTGCATGCATGTGTGTGCACACGTGTGTGCGTGCATGTGTGTATGTGTGCGTGCATGTGTGTGTGTGCGCGCGTCCATGTGAGTGAGTGCCCGCTCACGTGGGCTCTCTTCCTCCCGTTTGCTGCTTTTACGCAGAAGCGTCACACCTGGTAGCAGTTAGGAGCCCCTTCACAGCTGAAGTGTTTCAAACACTAATGAATGGGGGTTTGGTCATATAATGCAGACAAGCTCTAAGGCATGCGTTACTGAATGGTGTGCTGTGGTGACCTGGGGAAGGAAGAGAGGTATAAATTGTGTCAGTTAGCCACCCAGACAAAATGAAGCCATGTGGAAAATCAAATCTATTAAAGTATGAAGACTGCTAGAAGCTGTTTTAAGCCGGCCATTCTTAAAGGGGCTTGGTTAGCGGCCGGGGTAAATGTTTACCTCTTCTCCCGGATCTTTTTCACATGCTGTCGTAGGAGACAGTGTGCAGCATTTGATAAAAATCATCCTTTCGCTAACGACGCTTTTATCAGAAATGTTTATTGTCTCCGCTTTACCACCCATGTCCTGAGAGGTACTGCACATTTGTAAAATAAGCAAAAGGAAAGAGGACTGTGTGGCTCGAGCTGGCTTGCAAAAACTCCAACAAATTCCAGAACCACAAGGAATTAGAAAAAAAGGAAAGAGAAGGAGGAATTAGATTTATATGAAGACGAAGCTCTGCAAAAACATATAGATTAGATTTTCTCTGTTTGGCCAGCCCAGCATTAAATGTTTGATTGATGTGGACTTAGCATTGAGAATGAGCAGTAATGCCAAGTGTTGGTCATTGTCTTAAAATGTACTTTCATGCATATGAGACTGAGGAACCCCATTTAGAGAGGACGGGAGGAGGCAGCTCCTGCAGCCTGCACTCAGGCCCCCTCCTTCACTCACGCGACCACTGCTTGGTCGCGGATGCTTCGGGCTCACATACAGGTTCCGCCGCCCATCTGACAGCTCTACTCCTGGCCCTACTCACCATGTAACTCTGGGTCTGTTGCCTTGATTTTCTCACCTGTACAATGGGAATAATAGCAGATAGTCCCTAAAAGCATCTAGTAGTCACCATAAGAGCATCAGCTCTTATTACCAATATCTGAAGGACACCTTTATTTATGCCTAAGTAAGGGTCTCCTGGACTCTGTTTTTCTTGCTTGCACGCTGGTTTTTAAAACTGATGAGTGGCATGCTGCGGGGAAAAAGTCACCCATTTCTTTCTTACCCTAATTGGTGAGGAAACTTCCACTGGCCTCACATTCTCTGGACTGCAAGCAATTGAATTTGCTGGCCAGCCACCTTGATATCAGGCCTTAAGTCAGCGGGGGCTCCTGGCTGCTCTGGGGGAAAACAACACCTTTATTCCTCAGTTACCAATTTAGAAGCCCTGGGGATGCGGGGCCTGCCAATCATCCCCGTCCTCTATTGAAGCGAGCACAGTGTGCTGTGGGCACAGGCCCCCTCTGAACTGTGTAAGCGCAGCCCACGCGATCTAATGCTTGTGGCCTTTGTGTGTTCCAGGAGGAGACTGAAGAGACATCCTCACAAGAGTCTGCAGAAGAGGATTAGGGGGCGCCCACGTTTGATTTCTACCTCAGCAGCAGTTGGATCTTTTGAAGGGAGAAGACACTGCAGTGACCACTTACTTTCTGTTGCCATGGTCTTTCCACTTTCATCTGGGGTGGGCAGGGTGGGGGGGGAGGGGTGGGGCTCGGGGGGGGAGAAATCACATAACCTTAAAAAGGACTATATTAATCACCTTCTTTGTAATCCCTTCACAGTCCCAGGTTTAGTGAAAAACTGCTGTAAACACAGGGGACACCATTTAACAATGCAACTTTTAATTACTGTTTTCTTTTCTCTTAGCCTACTAATAGTTCGTTGATCTGATAAGCAGGAGTGGGTGGGTGAGAAAAGCTCTGAATCAGGTTTAGTCAATCACTGCACTGCACACAGACAAGAATCATGTCACAGCCGTGACACTGGGCATTCACGTAGGAAAGGCGCAGTGTGTGACACTGTAGCCCCCAACGCCACCCAACCCGCTCGCGTAGTGAGGCTTCTGTTTAGAACCAAAGATAGGAATAGATACGACTTCTCTTCTTTTCGTATAATCTTGTAGACACTTACTTGATGTTGTTTTTTTTTTTTTTTTTACTCTTTTATTTCTAAACCAGACGAAATGCTGATGTGTCCTTTCATTCAGCTAACAGACAAGAAAAGATTCCGCTCATTTTTTTCAAAAGGGGAAGTAAGCACACGAGGGTTGCCAACTCCCAGATTTATGGCTGTCACACAAGCAGTAGGGGAACCCATTGGCCCTGTCACACTCTGTCAGGAGAAACACTCATCCAGGTCGGATCTACTTCCCACAGAGCCAGATGCCATTCAGAAATACATCACACGTGTCAGCCTCCAAGCGTGGAAGGAACCTAGATTGGTAAAATCCTCATCTTTGTAATTTAATGAAAAGGTACAACAATAATGCATGATGAACTCACCTGAATTATGAGGTAGGAGCGAAATCTAAAATTCTTTTGCTATAGTTATGCTACAACTTTAAAAAGGCAAACAAAAAAAGCAATGTCTCTCTCTGCCTCTTTTCATTGTGTATCAGTTTCCGTGAAAGACCTAAATACCACTTACCTCAAACTAAGCTTATGTGTTACTTCAGGTAACGCGTTTTGACATAGGATGGTCGACTGAGGTGCTTCTCTTTGGCTTCAGTTCACCGTCTCTTCATTCAAACTGCACTTTTAGCCAGAGATGCAATATATCCCCACTACTCAATACTACCTCTGAATGTTACACTTAATTTACAGTCTAGTACTTTTTACATGCTGCTATACACAAACAATGCAAGAAAGAAAGACAAATTTAATGGGTAGGTGATGCTAACCGCGGTTCTTTTTGTACACTTAACCCACAGTTAATGAAGCAGTCTCCTTATGTGTTTCAGCATGGCTTTGTATTTTTCTATGGTGGTTTTTTTTTTAATTAAAATTTTGCAAATACTTGTTTCAGCTTCTCTGCTAGATTTCTACATTAACTTGAATAGTTGTTGTTTTTTTGTTTTGTTTTGTTTTTTTAACCAAGTCGCTCCTAGGTTCTTAAGGATCATTCTCCTCAATCGCACTACACAGCACACAGAATTTGACTGTAATGTTTAAATATCACCCTCCGAGTTTGTACCTCAGATGAATTGTTTAAGGAAATGGACTAATTGACTTGCAAAGACCTACCTCCAGACTTCAAAAGGAATGAACTTGTTACTTGCAGCCTTCATTTTTGCCAACGTTTGACATAGTTCAGACTGCAGCTATCCCTAGTCAAAGCTATTTTTGTAAAAAACATTTGCTAGAGAGGAACACATTTTTACATACTTTTGCAAATAAATAAATAAAAGAAAGCCAACCTTCAAAGAAACTTGAAGCTTTGTAGGTGAGAGGCAACAAGCTTGGGCCTTTGCGATGCAATCAGAAATGTGTGTTTTTAAGATTAGTTGAATATGAGAAAATGCTTGACAAAGATTTTCATGTACTTTACACAAATGTGATTTTTGTAATATGTCTCAACCAGATTTATTTGAAGCGCTTCTTATGTAGAGTTTTATTCTTTTCTCTCCTAGTGCGTGTGCTGACTTTTTAACATGGTATTATCAACTGGGCCAGGAGGTAGTTTCTCATGAGGGCATGTGTCAGTGTGGCTTTTAGTTCTGAAGCCAAGTGAAACTCAAAACCATCTCTCTTCCAGCCGCTTCAGGGAGGTAGCTTCAAAGACCGCATACCTCTCTTGGACTGGCAGATGGCTCACTGTTGTGAATCACCAGAGGAGCTATGGAGAGAATGGAAACTCAACATCACTGTTAACTGTGCATTAAATAAGCAAATAAACAGTGGCTCATAAAAATAACAGTCCCATGTCTTTGGTTGGGCCTTTCTGAAACCTCATTGGCCAGCTCGTAAAACTGACACAGTTGCTCATGTTGGCCAAACTCGGAAACCGAGCAATTTCCATCTCTGATGAAGTTACTCTTTTATTTCCTCTATGTTGTACAATCAAAACACACGACTACCTCTTAAGCCCCAGTATACCTCATTTTTCATACTGAAAAGAAAAGAAAAAAAGCTTGTGGCCAATGGAACAGTAAGAACATCATAAAATTTTTATATATATAGTTTATTTTTGTGGGAGATAAATTTTATAGGACTGTTCTTCGCTGTTGTTGGTCTCGGCTAAGTAAGACTGGACACTTAACTTTTCTACCATTTCTGCATGTTTGCAGGAGAAAAGTATCAAGACGTTGAACTGCAGTTGACTTTCTCCCTGTTCCTTTGAGTGTCTTCTAGCTTTATTCTCTGTTCTTCATGTAGAGTTGCTGTCTATGATTGTACTTTGAATCGCTTGCTTGTTGGAAATATTTCTCTAGTGGATTATCACTGTCTGTTCTGCACAATAAACATAACAGCCTCTGTGATCCCCATGTGTTTTGGTTCCTACTCTTTGTCATAACTCCATTAAGTCAAGTTTAGTCAAAATGGGTCAAGGAGAGAGGCAGTCCCTTTGAAAGTCGTCCTGTCGCCCTTCTGCATATTGTGCGTCCAGACTTCTACACACATTGACACAAACCTTTAAAGTAGCATACTTCTTCCATCGGCTGCCCTGAAATCATCTTTCGTGGCCTGACCTTTCATTCTACAAAGATGGCGTCACCTTTGAAGAAATGCCGAGAAAGAATAGTTTAAAACTAGAGAATTTCTAGTGAAGGCTGGCATTGACAAACTGTCAGCGAAGTAACTGGCATACCAGTTATCTTTCAAGTAACATTTGCAGAGATACCCAACAATTTGGAGAAAAGAATAAGGAATGAAAGTCACTACTACATAGGAGTCTTTCATTTCATAAATACTATAAGCAGGGGCAGAATTAGTCCACCACGTTCCAAATCACTTTGACATCTCGATTGCTGATGATGGATGAATAAATCCCGGATTCTCAAAAGGCTAAAATCTTCTGGTTGGTGCTGCTACCATTGTCACGAAAACTTCTGCATTTAGCTTCTTAGGAAGGACTTGCCCATATTAAAACATCTCCTGTCAGGAAATCTATCCTCAGGTTTTACTCCACTCCTTCGCTTGTTTTCACAGCCAATATTTTGTGAGTGCCTGCTTTGTGCTGAGCTCTAGACCAAGAGGCCCTTCAAAAGATTGTCTCCTTGGAGGAAATTATGCAAGTGTAGAAATAACAGGCAGCATTCGAAAAGAACCAACTATATTGCTTATGCAACAAGTTTCAAGAATTCAGAGGAGGAAAAGCCATTTCCTGCTGTGGTGGATCATTAGTTCAGTCTGTAAGAGGGAGACAGGCCAAATGCATTTAATAGAACCCGCATCTAGTCTTTTCATTTTTATTAATACAGAAAAGCACATAAGAAGAAATTACTTCCTGAAAATGAAAGTAAACCAAGAGGGAATCTTTGGGTTGAAAAAAAAAAAGAATAAAAAGGGGTATGTTCAGAATAGGATATGTTGGTGAATAGGATAAAAGTTTTAGCACATTTTGGAGTCAGCTACTCACTGAATGATCTCTGAATTAGGTTTTTTCTTCTAGAAAAATTAAACTAGTGCTTTCACACAAGCAGTACGCTTACAAAAGTCACTATGTGAAGAAATCTTTTAAGTTTAAACCTAAGTTCAAATAGCAGTGGGGCCTCTAGTTTGTACAGGATATTGTTTGGGGCAATAAAAGTTGAGACCTCATCCCTGCCCACAAAGAGCCAAACTTCTCAGGAGGGAGGCGGACCCCAGGGAGAGCTGTGTAAATAGAACCTTACTGAGTGGTTGGAGGCACCCCCAACTCTCTGCAAGTACCGGGGAGGAATTGCAGGCCCTCCCACTAAAGGGCGTTAGCATTGCCATCAGGGGAACCTGGGGCTGCATGGGCAGTGAGTCGCAGCCTACGTAGCATTTCATATGAGTGATGGCTTTTCAGTAGGGCTAGGGGCACTTGACTCTTGTGAATTGAGGAATGCTAAGTGGTCTAGGAGTATGGACAGTAATAAAACCAGAACTAAAGAATAACATTCCAGTCGGTGAGACATGATGCAAATTCAGACTATAGATTAGGGAATGAAACTTCAGGAAAGTGAAAGAAAGAAGGAGAATAGACAAGAGGGCAGAAGGAATGTGCTTTATATTAAGTGTATTTATCTACATACTAGAGGCCAGGTGCATGAAAATTCATGCACTGGAGGGGGGTCCCTCATCCTGGCCTGCCCCCTCTCATAGTCGGGGATCAGGGGAAGGCGACACCCCATTACACCTCTGCTCCTGCCACTGCCTGCAGCACAAGCCTTAGCCGGCCCTGGTTACCTGAGCCTCGGGCGGCCCTGGGGGGCTGGGGGGCTGAGGGGACTGGGGGACTCCGGAGGCAGGCACCCCAGTGGGGCTGAGGGGACTGGGCGCCACCATCTTGTGGCTGTGGGCACTGCCATCTTTGAGGGCGTGACAGCAAATTAGCATGTTCTCTCCTTATTGGCTGTGGGCACTGCCATCTGTGAGGGCGTGATAGCAAATTAGCATGTCCCCTCCTTATTGGCTATGGGAGCTGCCATCTTTGAGGGTGTGACAGTCAATTAGCATATTCCCTCTTTATTAGATAGGATGATGACTTGTTA